GGATAGAGAGATAGGTAGATTCATAGGTAGATTTATAGGTAGACAGATAGACTGAGAAACAAACTGCTTGATGCGAGTTATATATTGATAGCGTAACAGATTCTTATAGGTTAGATAGGACAAGGCTAGATAAATCGATTGAGAAACAAATTGTTTATGCGAAATAGATATGGATAGGAGGAATAGTAGTTTTATAGGAGACAGAGTAGAATGAGAAACTAACTGCTTGCATGCGAATAGATATGGATAGGCAGATAGGTGATTCTATAGCGTACACAGGTAGATAGAATTGATTGAGAAGGACAATTGCTTTGGCAAATAGATATGACGATAGATAGCAGATAGGTTAGATTTATAGGTAAGATCAGGTACGGTAGGTAGATATTATGCAGACAGGACAAATTAAAAGTGTGTTGGTGTGTGTGTGTGTGGTGTGTGGTGATGTGTGGTGTGGTGTGTGATGGGTGTGTGGGTGCTGTGTCTGTTCGTGGTGTGTGTGTGTGGCATGTGTGTGTGGTGTGTGTGTGATGTATTGTGTTTATGTGTTGTATTGTGTGTGTGTATGTGTGTGGTGTAGCGATGTGCGGGCGTGTATGTCTGTGTGTGTATGTTGTAGGTGGGTGTATGTGTTGTGTTTGTATGGTCATGTGTGTGTATGTTGTGTAAGTGTGTGGTGTGTGCGGGGTGCTATTTCTGTGTGTGTATGGTGTATGTGTATGTGTGTATGTGTTGTTGTGTGTGTGGTGGCGTTCTGTGTGTATGTGTATGTGTGGTAGTGGTGTATGTGGATGTAGTGTGTGTGTGTGGCGGCGTGTATGTCTGTGTGTGTGTGATGTGTAATGTGTGTGTGTATTGTGTGTGTATGTGTGTGTGTGTGTGTGTTGTGTGTGTGCGTGCGGGCGTGTATGTCTGTGTGTGCCTGTATTTCATATGCATCGTTGCCAAATTATGCTCGCAGAGACTTCATTTGCATTGCACACTAACTGGGCATGAGGTGTAGTTATGGTCACAGCGGCCAGCTTTTGCCATCTGTCATCATCATTGTAAACACTATTACTCCTAGTTGGCAGCCCCTGTCATTAAATTTATCGTTACTTTTGTTATCAAAGCTGGTATACAATTTGTTAATATTATTTTTACGGTCTGCTATTTCACTGAATTCATTCATCAACTGTATCAAAATTAATATTAGTAGTATCATTAGTATCTATTTGCAAATCATCCGTATCAGCAACTATCTAAATCAATAAATGCAATGTTTCTATTGATAATTTCCATATTAAAAATGAAAAGACGAATAACCTCCTTTTATTCCTAATTGGTATCCCGCATGTCATTACCGTATATTCAGGCATTTTATTTATCAATTTTGCTTGTGTATTTTATAGCTTAATGCTTTTAATGAACACCTGTATCACCTGACAGGTAATTCGCCAGTAAAATATTCAGATAATGTCAGTTTTACAGAGCACAGACGTACTGCAGACACAAGAGGAAATCAGTAACACAGTTCACAACATATAGAACGATTGTGAACGCAGAACATGAGTTAGAAGAACATTGATGGAAAGAACAGGGCAGGAAAGACAGAATGAGGAATATGCAGTTACAGAGAGAAACAAGAGAGCAGAAGATAGAGAACAGGACAAAGAACACAACATAGAGCAAAATACAGCACTAAACATAATAAAGCAATATTAAAACGGATCGAATAAGAAAAAATGGAAAAAGGAAACTGAAATCAGAACGGGGAAGAGAACACACACCAAACTAAAGAACAGGAAACATAAAACACAAGCGAGAAAGAGAACACACGAGAAAACAGAAAAAATAAAGAACTAGAAAAGGAACAGTCGCAAACATAGAAACCAGAGAAAACGAGAGAAAACGCAGAAGCCATAGAACACGAGCGAAAAATTCACCGAGAACACAGAAACCAGAGAACAAGAGCGAGAAACAAAAAAAAAACAGAAATTAAAGAACAGAGAAACCAAAGAACATCACAGAACAGAAGAACCAGAGAACACAGTCGAAAACACAGAAACCAGAGATACCGAGCGAGAACATCATCGAGAACAAAGAAGCCAGAGACCACGAGAGAGGTGAGAGAGAACAGAGAACACAAAACAGAACAGAGGAACCAGAGAACACAGTCGAAAACACAGAAACCAGAGACCAGGAGCGCGTCCACGAGAGCGTGCAGCCAAGGAGTGAGCGTCCTTCTAACGGGGTTGCGTGCTAACGGGGTTCCGCCTCGATCAGCTGCTGCGCGCGCGTCACGGAGGGACCGGCGCTCGCCGCTCGACTCGCTAATGTCTTACGAGAGAGCGCATAATTTATATTGCCGTAATTATCTGCTCTCTTATTTGCCGCTAAAGTGAGCACGGGTCAGCCGTTACGCTGCGGACACGCGCAAGTTCTCTGTGCGGGAGATTTGAGATTGGGAAAAGTTCGTGTAATGGCGGAGTAACATTCGCTTTGTACCTTAGCGGAAAAGCGCTGAGCGAGGGAGTCCGTTTTCTTATCGTGATGTTTCGGAATGTTGAGTTTAAAAGCAGACATTTCTTCTTAGTCTCAATCTTTCTTTCCTTCGGAAAAGAGTGTGTTTATAACGTACAGGCGCGTGGTACGTGTAGCAGCTGCCCACCTTCGAGGCCGCTAAGGATTACTTTCCCGTATAAGCGCTACGGGCGGTCACCTTAACGGACGCGGCCAGCTGCTCACCTGTTGATCCTACCGGGCACGCGTTTTCTTCGGCCGTTTTCCTCTGCGTTTCGTCGCTGTTTCGTTTTTCTTCGTCTCTTGCACTCCAAACGAAATTCCGAACGGATTTTCGAACGCTCATTAAAGGTTATTTGATAAAAAACTTAAATAATATCTTATCCCTTTTTTCAAGAGGAATTGCACGGAGCAAAATGGAACTCTTGACCTAAATAAATACTCTTAGAACAACAGAAAAGAAAAGAAAAAAAAGGAAAACGTTTTCGTGCGAGCGAAGGAAATGGAGCCGAAAATTCAAGAATTCAACACCTCTGACAGGCAGTTGACCACGACCCTACGGGCTACTTACGCGCTAATTTTTTTCCTTCCTCCCTCCTCCTTCTTCCCTCCTCCCTCTACGTTTCCCTCTTCGTCCTTCTTGCTCATTTGCCTTTCTTCTTTCTTTCCCCCTCTCTCTCTCTCTCTCTCTCTCTCTCTCTCTCTCTCTCTCTCTCTCTCTCTCCTCTCTCTCCTCTCTCTCTCTCTCTCTCTCTCTCTCTCTCTCCTCGTTTCCTCTTTCTCTTTTCTTCCTCTTTCAACCTTCCTTCTTCACCTCTCTCCCTTTTTTCTGTCTCTGCCACCTTCCTCCTCTCTTCTGCTCCCTTTTCTTTCCCCTCTCTCTTCACTTCCCCCGTCTCCACATCTTCCTTCTCTCTCTTCCTCTCCCTCTCTTACTTTTCCTTCCCTCCCTCTTCCCCTTTTCTTCCTTCTTCCTCCTTCTTCTCTTTTCTTCTTCCTCCTTCTTTTTTTCTCCCCTTCTCCCCCTCCTCCCTTCTTCCCCCTCCTCTCCCTTCCTCCTTCTCCTCCTCTCTCCCTCCTCCCTCCTTCTTACTCCCTTCCTTCCCTCCTTACTTCCCTCCACTCCCCCTGCCCCTCCCCTTTCCTTTCGGGCAGCTGTAGAGCCCCAATGAACTGCTACCTTTGTGTTGAGCTTTTCCTTAATTAGGGGCAAGAAGTCCCAAACACCTGAAGAAAATGTTCCCAAAAGGATGTTACAATTTCTCGTTTAACGGATGCGACCCCTCCCCCCCCCCCCCGCCCCCGGTCAGAAATTAACTTATATCTACAAAATGTTTGTTATTTTCCGCTCGACACGAAGAGATCAATTTTATTTCGTATTAATGGTGAATTGTCTATCGATCTTAGTTAGAATTTAGGTCCGTAATTCCTTGACTTATAAAATGTTAGAAGAAGGATCAACCTTAAATTAACAGTATTTTGTTGTGGAATTATCCATCGTACATTGCCTTTTCAGTGGAATTTAATTCCTTGTTTTTGAAATTCTCCATCTCCACAAAGGCCTGATTTTAAACTGCCCAACACCCCACATATCAAGCAAACCTTTCTTCCTCTTTATCCTAATTCAACTTATTCCCCGGCAACGATGAAAATCTAAGAGACCATTCCTTTTCCATTCCTCCTTTTTCTAATAAATCTTTTCATTATTTTTTTAGTCCCATCCGAAAAAAAGAGCATGAACCGGGTCGTCATGCCCGGAGATCATGGCTTTTCTGGCGTTGAAATCACTGGGGCGAAAACACGGCGTTTAGGGCGAGGGTTTTGGCGTTGAGGAATCGGGCGTGGGCGGCGGCGGACAGCCAATTTCTCTTCGTTATTGCTTATTAATTGCGTTGTAGATGTTTATTTTTGTGTTGTAGATTTTTTTGGGGGGTTATATCACGTAATTTAGCATATATAAGCTGTAGAGCCAAGTTAGAAATTATGTATATGGATGTTCAGTAAAATAAAACTATAATTGGTAAAATACGATTTTTCAAAACACTTTTACTATACATGGAAAAATACAAACAAAACATCAGACCTATAACGGATATCCAACCAAAAAAAAATGAAAATAAAAAATGGGCAATCGGTAACTGAACCGATGACGATGTTATAAAGGCGAGGCAGGCAGCCGTTCATACCCAGTCGGTGGGCTCTAGTCATGAGTGAAGGTGAGAGACATCAACGCGCTCTCTCTCTTTCTCGCCCGCTCTCCCTCTCTCCCTCTGTTTCTTCCATTCGTTCGCCTGGTGTGCAAAAAAATAAGAACAAGAAAAGCTAAATAGACAAACGCGAAGACATGTGTATCACAAGTGACTTACTTAATCCAGTGTTTTGGAGTGTGTAAGTAAATACAACTGAACAATTTTCAAAACAAACGTACTCACAGTGCTACGAAGACAAGAAAATAATAGAAAAAAACTCGAGCAATTCCCGTTCCCCCTTCCCCTCCCTCCTTCCCTCGTCCCCCTTTCCCTCCCCTCCCCTCCCCCCCACCAAAAATGACGACCTCCCCCACCCTTCGACCTCCGCCTCAGGTCCTGGGGGTCGAGTACCAGCTCCTGGGACACCCTCGGAGGAGTCGGCTCCCGCTGGCTGCTCCTTGAGGACGACGACGTGTTCCTGCCTCCCTCGGCCGCGCTGCCCAGGCCCTCGCTGCCGGATATAGAGCTCAG